GATTTCTTGACTGCTGCTTCCATGGGTGTTGATTGTGGATCTAAGTAAAATGAAATCCTTGATAACTTCAATCTTTTTTCCATTTATCATGATGTTGCTTATTGATCCAGTTTTGAGGATTTTTGTTTTCTTTACGTTGAGGCGTAATCTATACTTAAGGCTGTGGTCTTTCATCTTCATCGGTAAGTGCTTGAAGTCCTCTTTACTTTCAGCAAGCAAGGTTGTGTCATCTGCATATCTTGGGTTGTTAATGAGTCTTCCTCCAATCGTGATGCCCTGTTCTTCTTCATATGGTCCAGCTTCTCAGATTATTTACTCAGTTTACAGATGGAATAAGTATGGTGAAATGATACAACCCTGATGCACACCTTTCCTGACTTTAAACCACACAATATCCCCTTGTTCTGTCAGAACAACTGCCTCTTGATCTATGTACAGGTTTCTCATGAGCACAATTAAGTGTTCTGGAATTCCCATTCTTCGCAATGTTATACATAATTTGTTATGATCCACACAGTCGAATGCCTTTGCATAGTCAATAAAACACAGGTAAACAGGAGGCAGAGCCAAGATGGCAGAGTAGTTAGACGCTTCCTGTGGTCCCTCTTACAACAAAGACCTGAAAAAACAAGTGAATCGATTATATATGACATTCTAGGAGCCCTGAACATCAAAGGCAAAGTTGAGGAATTAGACTGAGTGACAGAGGGAGGGAGAGATGGTTCGGCAGCAGCGAGGAGCTGCCAGACCTGACCTGGCAAGAACTGGCACCCTGCAGGCCAGATTGGCTGGCGTGCTCAGTGAGGCAAGCAGTGGCGCTCAGGACATATTTTCCACATCGGGAGGGACCAAGTGGCAGAGAGTCTACTCAAGCCTCCAGAACCAGTGAAAAGCGGCGCTCAATCAGCAAAAGATAAGTACATGTGTCTAACCCACTGCGCAGATCAAGGAACACCCCATTTGGGAAGAGCCTCTCTCCCATTTACCTGCCTCCTCCCCACTCTTCACTGGTCCCAGGCCCTTCAGCGACTGCCCCATCCCCTGGGCCAGAAGTAGGACCTGTCGCAAGCCCTAAGCCATTCTCCTGGCCTTGGAGAGGGAACAAATTAACAATGGGAAAAAATAATCTGCCAGCTCCCCTAAGCTGGGAACTCAGAGCAGGCACAGCTCCTTTGCCTAGGCACAGGAATAAGGGGTCCATGGACTTTGAATGCCTTTCACCCCTGCATAGACCTGTGTGGTCCCCTTTCAACAGCATAGGCCCTCATTAGCACAGTACAATAGGGTATACCTATGTCTAACTTCAACTGTATCAGCTATATGCTGGAGTGGCATGGTCGTGACATTTGACACTGCTCTGCCCATTAAGCAGGGTCCTCACCTACATCAGGGGCCTGAGGACTGGTGGCTCCACTCACGCCATGTAGCCACCTGTGAAAGGGGTCTAAGAATAAGTGGCGTCTCCCAGTCCTTACAGCCAACAGCATTGGGTGCCCGTGGTCCGGCTGCAAAACCCACCCACCTACACACTCTAGGGAACAGGGACATGCTTTCCCCAGACACTCAGGGGCAGCCGTCAGCCCCTTGCCTTGCTCGGCACGTGACCCCCTACTGCAGCCAGATACGTGTGCCTACTCCAATCACCCCTGCCCACCTATGACTGTAGGTGAGAGCCTGCGCCACACACTTAGTGACCGACTACCTGGACACCTGAGCTGAATCCATACAAGGAAAGTAAACAGACTCCTGGGCTCACATACCCAGTAACAGGTCTGACCACCTAGTGACAGGACATTAGAGCTTCAAAGGCACAAATAATCAAACTAGCTCACACGAGCAGCCTATTCAGGCATATCAAAACAAAACAAAACAAGAAGCTAGGACACAGTAAGCAAATGTAAAATAAATAACTTATTGATGGCTCGGAGACAACAGTCAGTATCAAATCACATAAAGAGGCAGACCATGATGGCTTCAGAAAGCTCCCAAAAT